TGTGTCGGGGAAACAGGGCGAAACGCTCAAGCAAGAATCATCAGTGGGACTAGGAGCTGTATGCCCCTGCGAGCACTACATGTTTTTCTCTGTAAGCACTGACACCACTGAACCGACAACATGTACCTCTCTGACAAGTTGCAGACGATCCCACAAATGCGGCCGCCACGGGCATAGGCGTAGCAGAAATTCTGCTCATGTGTCCAGACTCGGCGGATTCGGGGGATGCCTGATATGGCACGGACGAGTGGTGGCGACAAATACGTACTTTCCCGTCGAGGCACCTCCAGGGTTGGCCCAGGCTTCTACTTCAGCAGAATTTGGACACTACCCTCTGCGAGGTTTGAGGGGCTGCTTGCAGGCATGCAGTCACAACATGCTTGAGCACAACCTGTTCTATCCAGTCCACCTTCTACCGCTGCAACCAGCATTTCAACATGTGCTTGGACAAAGACTGCCTCAAACATGTTTGCATGCGTTTGTCAGTGCTTGCGGCTGAGAGATTTAAGCTTTGAATGTGGTTATCCGGACCCGGCACCTCTTGCATCCGAATGTGTACTCCACCTTGTGGATGCCGCCACCATGTCGCTGAAGAAGTAGTTGCCCATAGCAAGGGCCAGATCTCCATTCAAATCGATCTGGTGGTTGCCGAACATCACGTCTGACCAACCCTTGCCGCCATTGATGGCGAAGAAGTGGTCCTCAGCAATTCCATGACCACCCATCCCGGCGTTGCCGACGAAGTAAGAAATGGCCTGGTTTGCCTCAGGGCGGAATTGCATATCCTGTGCTTTGGTTGGCTTGAAGAGAGCATTTCCGTGGCCATAGCCATAGAGATCAGCGGCCGCACGATTGGCAACTGACAAATAGTCCCCACCGAAATGTGTTTGATTGCTTCCGCCCATGCTCTTTGGGCCGCTTTCACCTCCTCCATGGAAACTGGTGCGGCGGTGTGCTCATATGGCATGGACGAGTGGTGAAGACGAATGCGCACTTTGCCATGCTGACACTTCCTGTGCAAGGGCCGCAGTGCATCAAAAGAATGAACCCGAACAGGATCAGCCGAGCTCAATGCCTAAACTGTGGTTCGGTTTGCTGTGGGTATTGGGGTGGACTTCGAACCCCAGCTCTCCTGTAGCCGAACGTGTATTCCACCTTGCTGATGCTTCGGATGTGAAGATGTAGTTACCCATGGCAAGTGCCAGATTGCCGTGCAAGTCGATCTGGTGGTTGTCAAAGAAAACATCGGACCAACCTTTGCCGCCATTGATTGCGAAGCCGTGGTCCTCCGAGATGCCACCAGTCACAGCGTCCATGAGTCTTCATCTCTGCCAAAGCGACGAGCAGAGTCAGGGGAATCGAGCCAAGAAAGGTGACCTGAGTAGGAACTTCAGGTGCCGCTCGTGATGCGGGGGAGTGCTGGAAGCTTGCGCACCAGGAACCAGGACATGCACTGCACCGGGTAAGCACCAGGCCAATTCTGGGAGCGTCGGGGCTCGAATCTGCGGCTGTCGAGAAGGAGACCTGCGCTGGAAATGACACGTTCAAGGCCTTGCTGGAAACCACCGCCGCGGTGAGTCCCAGCCCTCATCGCATAAACCTTGATGCATCCCTCACAGGACGAGGAAATCCTGCCTCGGGGAAGTTGAGGCGGATGTCGCGATTGTTGAATATCCTGACATACCAGGGGCACAGCAAAGTCATCGCACTGAAGCCAGGCTTGAGTGGTGTCGCTCCAAGAACAGCACTGCAGACCTGCTCTGGCGCCTGCACAAACCCCATATGCTGTTGCGGCACAGTGGCAGCACACGGCAACCAGCCACAGTGGCACCGCGGCGGAGCTATGGCAGCAAGTGGGACCAAGATCACGAGGGCGTACCTCCCTACAAGGTCCTCAGGGCGAAACTTGAAGTTCTTGGTGAGTCTTGGTGTCTAAAACTGGGACGAACAGCAAACTTCCAGAAGCATGCACAACTCAAAGACCCATTTGGGGTATTGTGCTTGTATAAACAAAGAATCATCAGGAGCCAGAGGCAGCCAGAATCAGAGTGGGGCAACATGCATGAGAAGTGGAAACATGTCGGAAACCGCTTCAGATTCAGACCATGCCTGTGCCAACAGCAAAAAGGAAAGCAAGCAACTCATGCTGAGACTCTTCTGTATGTGTATGGATTTGAAAATGTATGATTATGTATGTGTGTATGTGTATGTCTGTATGTCTGTATGCATGCATGTACGCATGCATGTACGCATGTATGTATGCATGCATGCATGTCTGTATGTGTGTATGTGTGTATGTATGTATGCATGCATGTATGCATGCATATGTGTGTATGTATGTATGTATGTATGTATGTATGTATGTATGTATGTATGTATGTAGGTATGTATATACATATATAATATATATATATATATATTATATTTTATATATATATATATATACATATATATATGTATATATATATATTGCATGCATGTGTGTATGTATGGCCGCGAAGTGAAGATTGGCTGCAGCTTGTTTTTATGAGATGGCACAGCACAACTTTCAAAGCAAGAGTCTAAGAGCGACAGGGCTCTTTGCCCCATCGACAAGCGGACGGATCCCATGGCTTGGACATGATCGTTCACCGCAAGACAATCAGGGGCTAGGCGAAGCCCAACAACTCTCCCCTTCAGGGCAGACGTGGGGTCACGAAACGCGTGCACGCGAAAAATGTTGGCTCGACTCATGGATTCGATGTCCACTATGTTCAGGGACACATGGGCTCGATTTCCACTATGTACATTGACATCCACTTTGTGAAGAAGCATTCGCCTAGGGCATATCCTCCCAAACTTGTGAACTTGACGAGTGTGAAGGTTCGGGTGCCACCGATGGTGGGCCGCCGTTACGCAGCGGCAGGAGGGGAGCGGCGGTGCTGGGCTCCTCGGTCCGGGTCGTGTCTCTTCTCCCACACAGACAAAGGAAGCTCTCTCTCTCGCTCTCTCGATCTCTCTCGCTCTCTCGATCTCTCTCGCTCTCTCTCTCTCTCTCCCCTCCCTCCCTCCTTCCCGCCCTCCGTCTTGCTCAAGTCTTGCTGTCTTGCTCTTCCGCTGGCCTTCGGCGTGACTGCTTGGCCGGCTCTGGGTGCGGTTGCGCCTCCCCTGACAATCACCGTTGCAGCTCGGATTCTCTTGCGATCCGATTCGCAAGCAGACACGGGAAGCTGCGGAGGCTCTGTGGGAGGGGGCTGCAGTTCGGGTGACTCGTTGGCATCCGTCACGGACTGCACCGCTTGAGGAGAGCGGGCCACACGTGCCTTGATAGTAACCTTCGGAACTTTCGCCGTCGTGGGCGTCGTGGTGCTAGTCGTAGCATGCACCACATGTGAGGCAGAGCTCACGCATGTCCGAGCGTCAGATGGGCGTACACCGGGGATGGGAACTGCCTCCTCATTCAGCACCGAGACTGCGGCAACCGACACCTCTTGTGCCCTCGATGCCTCGATTGACTCCAAAGGAGTCTCGGGTGCCGTCACTCTGGAGGCTTGCGAAGCTCCTCCTTTCAATCCCTCACTCGGGTGCACGGCTGGAGCTGGCTCGGTCATGACATCCGCATCCGGAACCGCCTCGATGTTCACCATGACCTCGGGCTGTGCGGGCTCCGGCTGCGCTGGCGGCTGCGGCTGCACTGGTTCTGCTGCTTGCGCAGCAACTCTCAAGTTGGAAACCTCGGAACTCTCGGGCCAGACGGTCTCGTCGGTACTCGGGGCGACCTTGTCGGCATCACGGCCGGCGCAGAGGTAGAAGATGCTGGCAAAGCCGGCGATGCCGCACACGAGGCTGGCGAGGGCCGCAAAGATGACTCCGACTGCACCGCCGCTTGGGTCCGATGCCTGCTCGAGCCAAAGAGGAGAGGTCGAAGCATCTCCCTCTCTTTCCTCTCGTTCCACCTTTGCGGTGAAGCTCTGCAGGCCCTGAATCTGGTAGAGGGATGCCTCCAGTCCAAGCTCCTCTGTGATGGCCGTGTTCAGGAGCAACAACGCCTCCTCCCTGAAGCCTCAGGCGAAGGCGGCGAAGGCAGTGTCCCTCCGCCACAACCCGCACATCCTCCTCCCACGGAGCGATCTCCCAGCCATCCGGCAGAGGCAGCCAGTAGTCCTGATACCCCGGGCACCTCGATATTTGGAAAGGTTCCGTCTAGAGCCCGGTACTGGTACCCGTTGTAGACGATGCATTGCCCTGGCGAACACTGACTCTTCACACCTCCCAGAAGTCCGAAAAGCAGGCAAATCGCAAGCATCATGGCTTTTCCAGGCATGATTACGATTTCTAGCCTGCCCACCTGTTGTTCAAATATAGCATGGAAGCTCTTCTTCAGCCTGAGGTGTGTGCCTGTGATCAGCAAATAACGTCCGTTGGGAGCTCGAGCCTATAGTGCAAAGCTTCTGATGCGGCCAACTTTTACGATCGTCCCTCCAACGAATGAATACAACAGAGCGACTGCTTCCCATTTTCCGGGTCTGGGCGTCTGTGAGTTGCAGCGGCCCTCGTTTCACAGACTTCCGGAAGAGAGATTATCAGAAGCATTCGGTGAAGCACAGGGAGGACCGGAACAACTCTATCATCATGGCACGGGCATCTCCCAGGGCAGGCAAACAAATCAAGACCATGGGTAAGAAAACGAAATGTCCCCAGCAGCAGCACGAGCAGTCACCAGCAGTCACGGCGATGTTTTCACTCGATTCACTCGATGTCACATCTTCCTTGACCAACCTGTGCTGCGCTAGCACACCAGGGATCGTTCAGGGAGCTACTACAACCACATGGCCACCTCACAGAAAAAGAGTGAGCCATCTGAGACCACCTCTCAGCGCCTGATGAGTAATCCACTCGATGCACGGAATCGTCGAGGTTTGGAGAGAGAGTTCTTCCTCGCGAAACAGATCGGCACCTTCGCAAGGTCGAAGTCCAGGACCCGGGTGACCGAGGGAAAGTGTCAGGATGCAGAGGTCAGCTTACGATGTCTCCGAACTCGAGGACTCTTCGCTCCCTCTGTCTGAGTCGCTGTCGGAGGAGCTCTGCTTCTCACTCGAGGTCGAAGTCTTCTTCCTGGTCTTCGCCTTCGCCTTGTTGGGATCGATGGAAGAGCTCCGTGCCCGGCGCTGCCTCTTTGCCGGCGTGCGGGCCGCGACCTTCTCGTGCTTCAAGCTCGCATGTCCACGCACCCTAGCATTTCCGGAGGGGACGGCAGGCTCAGCTGCGGCTGGCCTCAGTAGATCAGCAAATGCAAGCATGAAGACCATGAAGTAGTCGTGCAGCTTTCGGAAAGAACCGTCTTTCGAAGCATGCTTTGGCATTTCTATTTAGGTAGTAGCTAACTACGTTGTTCGAGTGTTGGAACGCGGTCACCGCCCATCGCAACAGACTTCTCGATCCACTGCAAGTCAAGCAGCATTTCTTGGCTTGCCTGCCACCGCTTCGCGTCAACCATTCAGCGGCGTGCACTCTACTTGTGGGGTCGAAAGCATCCCTTCCCCAAGAACTTAACCAAGCTTGTGAGGCAACAGGGCGGCCACAAACACTCGTGCGCCTCGGCACCGGCTGCCTCTTTGATGAATTGCCTGGAACATCGGAAGCTGCCGTTGCAGCAATCTGAGGCTTCTGGAATGACGGTGCAACAGGTAAAGGCCGAAGACAGAGCCGAAGCCTTCCTAAACTCCCGGCCTTGAGGCACGCTTCTTGATGTCCAGGCGGTACGTGCCATCCTCGAGGCGATGTGGGCATATCCGGACTCTGCCACGGCTCTGCCTCGGCTCTGCCTCGTTGAGCGCAAGCACGCTGGCAGAGACCCAGCGCTGGACCTTGGCTCGGGGGCCCTTGAGCGAAGTCTCCATCGCAAGAGATCGTTTGCTTGGGAGAGCAGCGGTGGTGCTCCAGTACTGAACCGTTGAGCCGATTGACAGCGCCTCCTCCCGAAGCTGCATCTGCCATGAGTGAGCAGACTGATACTCTCAAGAAGAACTCGGGAAGCTCCTCTGCGGGCTGTCTCACTGGGTTGGAAAGGTCCTAAGCCACACAGTTCTCCTGCTGAGCCGTCTTGGGCAAAATTGCAAGCGGCTGACGTCCCCTCCAAACGGGTTGTTCGTCATCTCGTGTATCTGCCGAGTATACTGGTTATGATAAACACACATTGTCACAACTTCGAGCATTCCTGCCGTGGCCTTCCATCTCTGCATGCTTCCAGAGGGCAACTTGTGAACGATGGCACCGTCCTTCAGCAAGATCGCCGTCACTGCCAAACGACGGGCTGGTCATGGCTCTCCGAGAGAGGGCCACGAAATCGTGATGCTCGTGCCTCCAGATGAATGCTTCCACCCACGGTCGCATCATCCCTGTCGAAGTAGGGCACGACACCTTCTCACTGTCGCACAGTGGCACACAAGTGCGACCACTCAATCAAGCAAGATGCTTGACAAGCCTGTGTCGAGCATCTGCTGAAGACATCCACGTCGAAGGACCTGGCAGCCGTTGGCGGAGCGCAGACGAACGAACGTGTTTTGCACAGTCGACGGTTCTGCTGGAGCTCGGAACCGTTCGATCTGCATCTTGCTAGCTGCACCGAGAACTACCCTGAACTTCGAATTCCATTCGCGTGGCCGCGACCTGCTCCCACTCGCCTCGCCCACGGTTGCCTGGAAGGGCGGCTCAGCGTGAAAGTTTGCCTGCAACTTGCGCCCAAGTCGGGGTGATACGAAAGCTTTCATGGGAAGGTCACCCGGTTGCCGTCTTGCTGTTTGGCTGCCAGCAAAAAGACGACCTACAAGACGACCTGGTGACCGGCACGGAGGAACACACAGCTGGCAAGAGACAAAGAAGCAGTCTCGAGCCCAAAAGGCCAGCATGATGAACATCACCAGTTCCTCATGTCTCTCAACTTCCCGCCTCCTTCAAGCCTTGAACGAACACCCCATTTATTAACTCATCAACCCTCAGCACTACACAGAAGCCGCCCTCGGCTTGATGAGGAACCTTTCGCATCCAGGATGCTTCCGGTGGAATTTGGCGATTCAGGAGAAATGGAGAAGCTCAACACGGGCTTGCGACGGGGCCCTGCTCTGGAGAGTGTGCAACACATGCCTGACCCAACAGGCGTCTGGCAGTGAGAACTCTTTGAATGTGGCCGTAGTACCAGGCGAATGCTGGTAAGGATGTGTTCCATCCTCCGCCACGTTGCTTGTCACATCCTTCTGAATTCTCGCGCGGCTTTCTGACGCCATGTCTGACCAGCCATGGCAATGATCAGCAACGCCATTACCACACGACATGGCGTGGGAGGCGTGTGAGTGGAAGTGACGCTTGATAGTTGCGGTCGGTAGCCGGTCCGGTGTAAAGGCGCCCCAAGCCCTGCGGCACACGGCATGGGAGTGAAGTCAATCCAGGCGGGGTGATGTCAGCCCAACAACAGTGAAACTTCAGCCATTCCGCAAGGGCACATGAATTTGGGTGGGTGTTCACGGCTTAGACTCAAAATGTCGCGTGCCCTGCGCACGGTGGGCTGAGAAGCCTCATGTAAGCAAATAATGGCCAACGTACACATGAATATATGCGAAAACCCAGTGTGGATGTCATCGAGTCATCAAGGTGGGGCCATGGATGATCTTTTCTCGGAACATGGACGTCATTATGTTTGGGGGTGGGGGCCCCCGGTGGGGGGAAACAACCTAATCTAGCACTAACCTAAACCCTAAGCCCAGCTTCCCCTGACTAGGGGACCTAAAAAATTACGAAATAAAACTAAACGCTGGGCCCTAAACCCTACATGCCCGCCGACCCCTGTCTTGGGGAGCAAGGCACCCTAAACCCTAAGCCGGGCTTCCCCTAAAATTTGGGGACCCGGCACATATGTCCTAAACCACCCTGAAAAAAACCCTGAAAGGAAACCACCCCCACACGCAAACCGCAACCCTAGAAACCGGGGGGGCGGGGGNNNAGGGTTTGAGCCAACACAAACACGCCCATGTACAGAAGCATTGGGAGGTGTAATCGCTCGAATGTTCGATTCATTTCAGTTGACGATCCATGGGGTCACACCACTAACTGGCATGACGGTCGTGGGGTCCCCGGTAACAAAACACGTGTTCGATTCAGGTCAGTCGACGATCCATGGGGTCACACCACCGACTGGCGGTAAAGTCCTGAGGTCTGCGGGTTGGGCACTCCGGAAAGCTCACGGTAGTTTTTGGGGTTGGGCATTCCCGTCCTGAGACTCTCACGGTAGTTTCTGGGGTTGGGCACTCCAAAAGGGAGTCTCACAGTAGTCTCTGGAGTTGGGCACTCCAGTGAATCTCAGAGAGTCTCACGATCGGTTTGGGGTTGGGCACTCAAGAAAGTCTCGCGGTAGTCTCTGGGGTTGGGCACTCCAGGGAGTCTCACAGTAGTCTCTGGGGTTGGGCACTCAGGGAGTCTCACGGTAGTCTTTGGGTGGGCGATGGCAGTCTCTGGAGGTAGTCTACGCGGACGAAGAACGAGCGGAAGTAATAGCTGACGTTAAAATCTAACAACCCCACACCGAGGGTGGGGAACAAGACAGGCTTTTTCGACCAAAGTGACCTGCCGGCTGGAGCAGCCCGAGGCGCATTGAAGTCGAGAATCTTGAAAAGAAAGCTGCGATAGGCACTTTAAGTCCCAAATCCTCCGCTTCCCCAAGAGCCTTGGGGCAGAGCTTGCGAAGAGTTGCCAGGCTGCTGCAGCAGGTGGCAGCCTGGACAGGCAAGGACAAAAAGGACATGTCTCCTTGAATGACTGTCAAAGTTGTTTTCATGTGTAAGGCCCCCCACGATGGAAGAAGCAGAGCCTCAAGGAATGCAAATTACATGCCCCGGCAGGCGCGTCTCAGCCTGCCTCCTGAGACCCACTCATCCGACCGCCGGGCCCGTTATGCGAGCGAACCGCTGTCCGGCAAAAAGCCATACCTTTTCGATTGCTGTGCTGTGGCGACTGCAAGAAGACGGACACATGGCGCACTCCCCATTGCTCCAGCGCTTCAGACTCCAGCCTGAAAGGCAGAGATTTCAGCGTGTGATTGTGCTTCTCTAGAAGGGGCCTAAAGCGGCCTGCATGACACAGACACCCCTCAGACACACTCAGCACCGGGTTGAGGCTGCAGCTCCAGAGCCACGCGGAAACCGTCGCTCTCGGGGAGCTTTTCCCAGCCTCCAACTCCACGGCAAAGGTAACTTCCGGTGCTTACATAAGGCTCTAGCAAAAGCGCGTGCTTGTCCGATCTCATGTTCTGACGCCTTCGTTTGAGTCTACTTCGCCAACATGCTCGCCGCGAAGACTCTTCGGAGGCTGTAGGTCGACGACCTCACGATGCTCCCAGAAAGCACCAGAAAGCCAGCGATTTCGAGCTTGAGTGCTGCCCAGGAGCCACCCTGCGCTCCAGCCCACCCGGACCGCCGCCAACCAAAACACCGCCACGCGACGCCTCGCTCAGGAGGCGCGGTCCCTGCTTCTTGCTTTACACCCTGCAGTCCCAGCTAAAGGCTAAGGCACCTTCAAGGACATGGCGGCCGGGCAGCTGGCGGGCGACCGCGGAGCAGCGGGGCCCAGCTCCACGAAGAAGGACGAGACTTGCAGCCTTCCAGAAAACACCACCAACACTGCTGCGTCCTTTGAAAAATCTTGAACGGACAGTATCACCCAGGACATCGCCTCAGAGATCCAAGGCCAGCAGAGCCCCGCCACCAGGCTCCGGTGTGGAGCGCCGGCCTGAGCTTTGCTAAGGCCAGCAAAGGGCGGCGGGTTGTTTGTGCCTTCCAGCTGCCGGCTCAAGTCTTTTTCTCAATCCACAAGTCGCTCTGCAAGGAGGCTGTTGGCCGCTGCATTGGTATCTCCCGCGGCAGCCTGCACCAGCTGCACGCTCCGAATATACCAACCCCCGTCTTTCAGAATTTCATGGCGGCGTGATGGCCTCCAAGGCGGCAGCCGAGGCGTCTGCCGGGAATCCCATGGACGTCAGCAGCTTCAACTGCAACAGAAAGGCCGCGGAAAATACCGCAGCTAGCGAAGCAGACTCGGAGTCTGGCCCTGGCCTTGCGCTCAAGCTCATCAGGCGCAGTTGTGGCCGCTGCGGTTTCGGGTCCTTCTCTGGCCAGCACGCAGTCCCCACGAATTCCCCCCAGCTGTTTCAGAGATTCGGCAAGCCCCGCCTTTCCCTGCCTCTCGCTCGGCTTCCACCTGCGTCCGCTCAGGCACTCTCTCTGACTCCGAACTGGCCTCTCAAGCACCGCTCGCTTGCGGACGAACTTTTTCCAGCCATCTTCCGTCGCAGGACGACGGCTGAGCGAGCAGACAGCGGCCGCCAGCCTCTGTCTTGCCACCAGTCCTGGCAGAAGAATCTGCATCAGAGCATGCCAGCAGCTGAGATTGCTTACGAAAATGCTCCCATGCTCATACTCGAACTTTCAAGGCAGGAAGTGGACCAGGGCAGGAGAAAGACAGCAACCAGTGAGAAAGGAATGCATCGGCCTCGCCATAGTCAATCAACACCTCCTGCAGGAGGTCTCTGTGACACACTCTTGCGCAATGGTCACACGGGACCATCGCCACCGGTTGCTGTGGCTATGCTGCTTTGTCCTCTTCTTTGCTGATTCATACGATAATTGCGGCTCCAAGCTCATGCATTCACTAAACTCAATTGGTAGTGGAATCGGCTTCACTCTGTGCAATGCAGGTGCGTCCAAGTCGATATCACAACAAAAGCAGAAAGGTCTGGATTGGTGCCAGCCTTATTTATCCAGTCCGCTGGCAGCCCCTGCAACTCCTCAATGCTTAGCCCCCCTTTGAGACAGGGGGACACACACACACACACACTCGCGGAAAACTTCTTGCTACGTCTATCTCCCTCTCCTCATCAAAGACTATGTCACGGAGAGCGCGGAAGATGAGGCGTGGCTGGGCGACGTCCAGCTTCACCTCTACA